TCGCACACGATCAATGGGAGGGGGACCGAGGCTGCCCAGATATGTATGGTGTTTGTAGATATATATATATATATAATATAACATAATCATAATCAAAAATACTTCATCAACAAGAATTTGCGTCAGTTTAACAACAACAAAAATATATATATATCAATATTTCTGTTTAACTTAGGCTTACAGAACTAGAGATAGCTGTGGCAAGAAACCTGCACCCAACGGGATGAGTACTTACGTACAGATTCCTTGCCGCAAATCTTGCAATGATACACAATCAATAATATGGTGGATGCGGGGGGTTTTTCAAAAAAACAACAACTAATTTCGATTAGCTTATGAAAGATTCTTCTTTGCCTTACCTTGCAAATGAGTTTTTGTTTTGTAAAAATTGGTTTAAAAAAATTAAAACAGTTTCTTGGATGAGATTCCGTTAACATGATGATGTTGCTTTTTCCTGCTCTTCTTGTTGAGGATTCCGAGGGGGGAAGCGGGGCTACTACTTCCCTATATACAAATTTGTATATTTATATATGATTTAAGTATGTTTTTGTTCGTTGAACTTTTCTTGTTTCACTAAAAGCTAACATTTTGTTTTCTCCTTTTTGTTTTGTTTTGTTTTGTTTTGTTTTGTTTTGTTTTGTAGGTTATATATACTATACTAACATCTATGTTTGAATTTCTTATCGATTTTGTTTGTTGTTGCTAACAGTTTAATGGCCACAAGATTCAATATATACTGTTTTTGTTTCTACTGCTGCTTATGCTGCTATTTTGTTGTTGCAAAGTGAGTGAAGAGATTGCCGAGTAGTGAGCGAAACAGGCGGCGCCAGAGCTTCAGGATGCAAATTTTAGTGCCATGTGTATTTTCTGTTTAGTTGCTGGAGTGTTAGCCTGGCCCAAACATATGCCACACACACACATCTTGCTCTGCTGCTGCTGCATTCCGATTGGCTTTGCTGTTGCTTTGGCTTTGGCTTTTTTCCGATGGCGTGGCTCTGCTTCTGTGCTCATCTAAGGCAGTCGGTGGTTCGTGGTTCATGGTTCATGATTCATGGTTCGTGGTTCGTGGTTCGTCGTTGTGGGAGTGGTTGTTTTTGTTATTTGGGTTTGTAAGTGGATTTATTGAATGGTTTGTTGGGAGTGTTTATGTGTTTTTGTGAAATATTTTGTTTTTTTTTGTTAATTTGTTTTTTTTTTTTTAATTATAAAAATGTTTTTTTTTTTTTAACAAACAAGTATTTAAATTTAGATATTTATTTTTTTTTTTTAATTTTTAAAAAATGTTTTTTTTTTTTTTAATTTTAAAAATGTTTTAAAGGGATTTTTTGGTTTGTAAATTGTTTTTTTTTTTTTTTAAATTAAAAAAGTTATTTGTTTTTAAATTATTTTTTTGTGTTTTCATTTTTTTTGTTTTTTTATTTGGTATTTTAAAACGTTTTTTGTTGGTTATGTGGTATTTTGTTGTATTATTTTTTTATTGTTTATGTTTGTTTGGTTCGAATGTGTGTGGAGTGTGGTTTTTGGTTTAGTTAGCATGTAAAGAGAGAGAAAAAGATTCGTAGACGTGGAAATTGAGTATTGATTAATATTTCATGGTTAGCAGTTACTTTTAATCTCTCTAGGTCCTTTGTTATGCGAGTTATGAGGCTCAAAAAGTTACCAAATGACAGCTGCAGCGCATTAACCGAAATATTGGATTGTATTTGGCATATTACATGATCAGTGAGGGGACACAAACACATGCATATGGATATTGTACGAGTATACGAGTATATGTAGTATTTAGAGTGGTTCTTTTTATTTTTTGCAATGGCGTACAAACGTTTAGTAACTTTTTGCTCGATCATGATCAACCGCATCCTTCAATTAGGATATATTCGATGCGGTATACATTTTCTTGGATATAGTAAAGACAAACACATACATCATTAGAAGATTGTATTAAAATCATACGAGTATATATAGAAAAGTTGTTGATAGTGCAAAAATATTCGTGTTTTTGGTTTGTTGAAACGTTATTTGATGCAACATTTGATGGTTATTGAAGTTCGTTCTCAGACTCGAATTTACAAGAACATGAAAGATTCTGTTTTGAAATTATTACTGAGTTTCTTCGAGCTAGTTTTCTTTTGTTTTTTGGTTAACTTGGCCTTTGGTTAGTTAAAATTAGCAATAGTATTACATCACATATTTTTTTTATTTTTGTGGCTAGACCTTGGTTTTTGTTTTTGTTTAATACGCTATATAGTTTTCATCACATAAGTTATTAGGGGAAGTAAATATTAAAATATATATATTATATGTATGTATGTATATAAAATTGCAGGTGCATTAGCTCTCATTATTTTAATTTTTACAAATGCCAGAAAGTATTTCAATTATTATGATAGAAACGAAAGCGTTATTTACATTTTGTTGGTTTTTTACATTTAAAAAATAAAAAAATAAAGGTTTTTAATATATAATTTGATCCTCTCTTGAGCAGGGGCTTTCGCAGAGTCCGGTTTGAGTTCTTTGGTGCAGATTTGTTATTCTTGTTGGTTTTGTTTCTCAATTATACAATTGTTTTGGTGTGGCATTGCTTTTAGTATCATTTGTGTGTGGATAGAGTATAATATATTGCCAATTCGATTAATGGAAAGCTGTAGAAAGCTCATCGAAAAAGGCCAGCATATGGCAAGCAATCGAAATGATGCATTGATTGAATATCAGACTAAAATTGATGCACAGAAACAGGTTTTCGACTGTTAAAGGGTTAAACCTTTGAGTAATCGTTGAATCGATATATTATCGATTGTGGTTGTGGTTGATCGAAAATTATCGATAAAGTATTTTTAAAACTCACTATACTTGGGACTGTTTCTCTCTGTGTGTGTGTGTGTGTTTGTGTGTTACAAACTATTTTCTTTCTTCGGTTTCTATTTGTATTTGTATTTGTACAGAGATTATCATTTGTTGTGTAAGCAAATGCAAATGCAATTTTATCAGTTATATATCATTAAATAACTAAGCTAAGAGAACAATTAATCGCAAATATGTATATAGAGATTACTGTGATACCAAAACCCATAAGCTTAGAGAGTAAGTCTGTTAAGTACACGTACACAATAGATGCACATATCGGATGTCGGAGATACATATGTGTGTCTTTATATTAAGATTTATATAGTAGATGCATATGCCATGGCATTGGTAATGTTGGTTGGTAGTAGCTGGTGGGGCTGGCTGGGACTGGCTGGGACTGGCTGGGACTGGCTGGGGATGCGGATCAGACTGGGTGGTTCTGGATGGTGGATCGTGGTAAGCATAGAGTTAGGCGTCCCAGGGGACGAGTGTGTGTATGTGAGGGGGTTTTATGTATAGGAGGTATATGTGTGGTGTGGTGTGGTGTGGTGTTTCGCATCTATCGTTTAGTTTTCTTAGTTACTAGAGTTGCAAACAAACAAAGTGAAGTGTTCTTTTATTATTATTAATTCTGATCAATGAGTTATGTGTGACTGATTACTGATTACGAGATAAATACTTTTTAATTTTGACTGTGGGGGGTTTAGTTTTCAGAAAGCGTTAGATTTTTGGTTGAAAGTTTTTCGAGAGAGCGAGAGGAGTTCTCTGTTCTCCGAGGAGAATTTCTGAAAGAAGTCGAAGTAAAGAATCATAAGACTTGGTATGGATTTTGTTTTGTTTTTGTTGTGTTCGCTTTTTTTTTTAGATTTTCCTTTTTTAACTGTTTGTTTTGCATTGCAACAAAAATCATTGATCTTTATTGTGGTACACTTTTCGGTTTTTCGGTTCGATTGCAACATCGTTTACATTCGAACGCATAATACAAAATAATCGTAGATATTCTTCGTTACGGACTAAACAGGGGGGGGACTTATGGCCTAGGATACACATGTAAAATTCATATCTCATTAAAGAGGGTTCTATATATAGTATATATAAAGAGTATATATATGGTATATGGCTTATCCGAGAGTAATACAAGGGAAAAGTCTACTACAATCTACAGATTTTGCATACAACTTTTCTCTCTTTTGAATTTGTTTTTTTTTTTTGTTTTCGGTTTTTTCTTTAGATTTTTTGTAAAACATCAAAGGCACAAGTCAACGTGGAAACAAAGGAAAAAAAATACAATATAAAAAGATTGCGTGTGTGTGTGTGTGTGTGTGTATAAATATTCATATCTAAGAAAAATAAACAACTTTTCGTTTCAGCAGCATCATGTGTGTCTGTACTCTTTTGTCAGAACTCGCAAAATGTACGAAATAAAATGCAAGTGGAAACAGAACCGCCTTGCACTTTGCTTCGACGCGTCAAGAAAGGACAACACGTAGAGAAAGTAACAGTTTGATATGGTAAAGAAAATATAAAAATGAGTGGAAAACACAACTAACCTGTGGAGGCGCGGTGCCACTTGACAATTGATTTTTTTTGGGTACGAGTGACGACCGATCAGGGCAGAGCGGCGGCCTGGCCTGGCTTTGGGCCAACAGCTCCGGCGGTGTTTCATTGGCTACAGTGGCATCTCGATATGTGGTTATAAATACGGAAAATTGCTACGATAATTGATCTAAATTGTGTGTGGTTGATGGGTTACAAAAAACACGATCAGGGCCCAACAACCACCAAATACGAAAATATTTCGTATGATTTATTTTTTGTTTTTAATTTATATATCTTTCTTTTTCTTCTTTGTTTTCGTGAGGGATAATTATGGTTGATATTTCTTGATTTTTTTTTGTGGTTAAAGTTTCGCTAAGAAACGAAACGAAATTCTATAGTTTTTTGTTGTTTTGCTTGCTGTTTTTCTGCGGGTTTTTTTACTGTATCTCAATGAAACCCGCCGGCTTGGCTGGCACACCGACCGTTGCGCGCTGATAGGGGTGCTCTCTGTTAGCCGCCAAACGACGCTGCTGCTTAATGGCGCCTAATAAAATATACGATACGATACATGTAGATACAGATACAGATACAGATACAGAATACGGATACGGATACAGATATGTATGTATGCATTATATAGGCATCAAATATTGTAGACGTAAACATATTCGCTAAATATGTAGCATAAAACTTACAACTAATAAATATATTGCATATGCTTGCTCATTTTCGAGTTCATTTCACACTTTCTCTTTCTCTTTTTTGTGCCAATTTTTTTTTTTTGGGTTGGGGGGGAAATCATCTCCTTTTTTGTAACATTTAAATTCTCTGCTTCTTTGGAATGAGTCGTTCATATGTTTGTGTGTAGTTTTGATAATGGTTTTTTTTTTTGTTTTGTTTTAATTGTTGGACACAAAATAAGTGATTTTCAAGCCGCTTTTAGCCTAAGGCTATGTGTGTTTAATTCTAGAAATAATATATGTTTTTGCTGTGTATGGTTTCCCTCCTTCTTTTGATTAAATCTAGAAATATATATATGGGTTTTGTTTGTTTGTGTAGTAGTCGTATATTGATTTGATATATTGTTCTTCTGCTCGATTTGCTGACTAGTTGTGCATTCAATTCCTGGCGATTGATTTGTGTGCTGCTCCTGTCTCTGTCCTGTCTCTATTTCTGTTTGCTGTGATCCTGGACGGCCTGCCTCGACTAAAACTTAGATTCTAAATTAAGCACCAACTTGATTCAAGGCTCCTTTTCTTACTACGAAATAGATTAAGATGCATTTTGCATAGAGGCTCTGCTGCAATTCTGATTTTCGTGTTCGTATTCGTGTTCCGACAAATGGCACTGGCTGGAAAAATTGAAACGGTTCTTCTTCTAACGTAAGGTACATTTGTGCATAAATACTGTCCCGCCCCATCATTAAATCATCGCTAATAACTATGCAAACAATTAAATACAAAAATAAAACAAAATACTAGTCTAAAAATTGCACTTACGACACGACCCTTAAACCACAAAAGATATACACACATACGAGTGTGTATCGTACTTAAATCGTACAAAGAAAATGCTTATAATAATATTTAATAGATTTTTGCAACTCTGCCAACTTGGTTGAAAGTTCTTTGCCTGTCACTCAAACGGTCGGTCACTCTCTACCAAAAATTTGAAGAGGAAAAAAAATACTCAAGGGCTCCAAAATGAATGAGAATCAACAACTGTCTCTGCCTGTGGCTGCTGCTGCTGCTGCTGCTGCTGTTCTCAACTAGAATATACTCATATCAAAAAACATATCGGGGGATAACTAAGAGTCCTTTTCGATTAAGGAGGACTACGATTAAAGGGCCTAAAAATCACTTATTTTCGCCAAGTTCGCGACCTATCGACTAACTATAGAATAGGAGAGAAAAAAACCCAATTCATAGACGAGCAATTGTTTTGTCACTCTCTTTCTTCCATATTTCTTTTCATTGAGTATTTGTTGTGGTTGTTGTGGTTGTTGTTCTTGTTGTGCCGCTTGTTTACTCTCTTTTCGTGTCTAAATATATTAATTTGCATACAACATACAGTCTGTCAATGTTTTTGTGACTGCAACTAAAAAAAACTTTAAGCTAACAATTTTCTGGTTTGAATTGGATTGTGGATTGGAGTTGGTTTGGAGTTTCTGTATTTTTCTGTATATTTTACTCAGGGGGAAAAATAATAGAGAGTGGGGATAGAAGTTCAAAAGACGGAGCCGGCATGCATATATCGACCAACTGGAAATATTTATGTTTGCAACAAAATTGTTTATAGAAAATATAAGATAATTATTGAATTCGTTTTTGGTGGAAAATAGATAATGAACGAACGTTTTTAGTTCTGTTAGCTATGGGGGGGGGGGGGTGATTTTCTGTTTTGTTATTATTATTATTAATATAAAATAATAATACAATTATTTTCGAGTAGAAATCCATGCCCAAATAGAGTGGTTAAAAGCGTGCACTGGGCCCTCTATACATTTTTTTTCAGACAGTAACAGTATGGCACTGATGGAAGATTCAAGTCCTAGATGTTTGGAAAACCTTCATCAACCCCTTTCTCGTTTTTCCTCGTTCTTTATTCACGTTGGGGGTTCCTTCAGTAAGTACATATTTTGACATATTTTGCACTGTAAAGCTGCATTTTTTTTGTTTAATTCTCATATGCTTTTTATTTGTTGAATTTTTTTGCAAGAAAATTGTGTTTCTGTTTGGCTTCTCCCGCCTCCCCTCCCTTCAAAACGGCTTTCAAAATGCACTCGTGTACAGGTAGGAGCCACCACTTTCTGACCAAAAATTGGTGCATACTTTTGGGCTACGATCAGAAACACATGTAGAACGCATGTATAGAGTACGTAGAATTAAGGTAGATATCATGTAGAATCCCCGTTTGCTGTCAGGAATGGATGGGGGACTGTACTTCGGAAAACTGACTATATTCTTAAATCTGTTTCATAAAATTTGGTTATGATTGTAGTTGTTCCCCTCTTGACAAGAAAAATAAATGCAAAAATCAATCGACATCGATTACATGTGCGTAAATGTGGACGAAACAAGACAATTAACAAATTAATAAAAAAATACGAGCCACTTCTGGAGTTCCCTGCTTTTCTGTGGGTTAAAAGATGTGTTAAGAGCAAAGGCAAACAAACACGTTAACTGGAGAGACAGGGAGAGGGAGAGGGAGATTGAAAGAGAGCGCGGCCAACCTGGCGTATGCGTGAGTGTGTGTCTGGGTAGTGTTAGGGGGTGGTGTTTTTTGATTATTGCTCGTAGATCTTCCTCCTAATCATTTTTTCTTTTTTTTTTATATTTTCCCCATTTGTGATGGTTGATTATTGTGTGTGTTTGTGTGGGTCTACAGTTATGGCGCATAATAAATAAAATAAAGTCATGAAAGATGGTATATATAGATAGATTGATAGAGTGAAGGATAGTGATTGAGTGAGAGAGTGAGGGAGTGATAGAGTGTGTGTGGGATAGTAAGATTATCTGGCAAACAACCCACCGCTATGATCAGCATATTCCGTGAGCAGAGGATTGCCAGCGAGTGCCGCATAGTTCGCATAATCCGCATACGGCGCAAAGATCATTTGATGGCCGCTCTGATCGAAGGCCCCAGTCGGTGCCTGCGACAGTATGCTGGCCGCCGTTGTGGGCACGGACATCCTGGGATTCAGTATCAATGGGGCGCCGAGCGGCGCCGACGAGGGGGCACGTATCTGTGCGGCCAGTCCGGCGGGCAGGCCGGCGGGCGTCAGCAGGCGATTGTCGGAAGCAGCCACCAGACGACGCCAGTCCTCTTCGCACACTGCGGGATACAGAACAGAAGCAGAGGGAGAGCCAACGCATGAGAAAGCTGTTCGTCGTCGTACACAGAAATTTCGGAGAAAGTTGCAAATCAGTTCAATGGAATCCAGGTTTTCATATACAATATACTATATCAAATAATACAAGTATACGATCGTATGTCTATCGTTAATGGTGGTTAGACATTGGTTAGGATTCGTTGGACTTTGGACGTTGGACGTTGTAGGACGGGAGAGCCTTTCGCTTATGGTTTTTCTTTTTATTTTGGAATTCTTGTATCCATTCGTTAATTGTTAGACATTTCTGGTTAAAGATTCGATTAGCTGAATAGAAATTGGATTATATATTGGCTATATCTTTGGGTTACGGAGAGATTGTTACGGATAGATCGATTGATTGATTGATTGATTGATTGAGAAGACTGATTGGCTTCTTGTTTTCGACATACCTGCGACAGATTTCGCTGTTGTGTCCCTATAGGTGCCATTTATTATGGCCAATTCCATTAGTTGGCGTTTCTTGAGCTCGTCTTCGCCTTCGGCTTGCTGTTAGTACAGATACGGCAATGTTTTGTGTGTGTTGTGTTGCATGTGTTTTGTGTTGCATTAAGGCGGATTAGATTTGTTGTTGTTTGTTTTTTGGGTAAGAGAAAAGATGAGAGAAAAATATACATTATTAATTATATTTTGGTTAACATTCAATTTTAGCTATGAAAGAATTAAACATTAAAAGGGGCGAAAGAGGGAGAGGGGGTAACAGGCAGGGGCCCTTTGATGTTTGTCTTTTTCTTTGGTTCTTAGGCATTTTTTCTGGGGCCTTTCCAGGGACTTCCGACTTACCGGCACAAGCAGCTTTTGAACCTCGCCCACAGCCTGGGCCAGCTTGACCTTGGCACGGTTCTCGGTGTCCTCGACGGTGATCAGGACATGCAGGTCATCGGACAAGTGCTCCCAATTGGGCTTGCCACGATTGGCATCCTCCTGGAAGAAGAATAAAACGGAAAATGCATAAGAATATAGAATGTAGACGAGAATAAAGATTTCTAGTACTTTCAACAGCTTATGGAATAAAAGGAGCAGATGAATCCCTACATGCCATTCGGTCAAGAAGGAGCACTGTGAGTACATCCTTGCAGACGTCTGTTGAGAACTGTTACGACAACGCTGTTTTAAACGCTCTCTCGCCACACCGCAGCTGTTTTAAGCGCGTGCTGAAACCGCTAGCGACTTTAGAAGCGGGAGTTGCCGAATAAACGATGAGGGAAAAAGTTGCTAGCATTTAGCCAAGAAACGTCATCTCTAAGGAGGGCAGGGAAGATATGCATTTCCAAAAAACTGCCTAAAACGCCTAAAGCCTCGGAATACAGCTGTTTTAGTCGCGCACCGAAAACGCTAGCGAACAAATCGCTCGAAAATGTTAAGAAATCTCTTGAAAACTAAAAACACCCATCGAATTGTAGTTAGATTAATTCCAAGGAGACCTAGCAAGTCCCTCTCCCACTCTTTTCCAACACTTTTCCACCTCGTCGGATTCCACGTTTAAGTGCAAACAACCGAATGATTAAAACCGAGTGTACTTTCAGCATGTGTGCTAATGGGCGCGGACAATTAATTGTGGGCGTGCCGCACCACTGGTGCACTGAAAATTCCTACAAATTTTGTTGTTGTTGTTGTTTTGTTTTTGGCTGATGATGTTATTACTTATAGCGAGACGATTCTTGGCTGGCTCACTCGAAATATATGCAAAAAGACAAAAAAAAAACCCCCCCTCTGTCGTTGTCAACTTTTGACCCACAATTTATAAACAATTAAGCCTCAAATTAGCGAGAAGGAGAGTGTCAGAGGCTCCGTCCAACAGCCTTGGTCCAGTGCGAGGCTTATCCCGCGTCAAATTAAGATCGGACAGGAGACCACGAGGCATGGCAGGGGGATGTCTCACCTTTGAGCAGACTTCGCCTCCGACTATGACTAACACGCATCTCAGGGGGGACGAGGAGGACTGCTTCTGTACCAAAATAAATTCTAACAAATATAATGCCACCCCGCATGCAAGTAAACAGAAATTCTATTTCGCCTTCTGTTGGCACTTTCTCAAAGAGAACGTGAAATGTGAAATCTGTTCGGGTCTTTCGCGGTGACTAAGGAGACAATCGTGTGGGCGTTACTTTCGTTCGAGTATTTGCTACTAAATTATCAAAATATTGCAACGAAATTAAACAATTTTTTAACACTCTCCACCACTCTCTCCCCCACTCTCTCTCCCCCCCGTCTGTGTGTCAGTCGGTCTTCGTTTCTTGATTTCTTTCTGTTTGACTGCCTGTCGCTCTGTCTGTCTGTCTGTTTGTCTGTTTGTCTGTTTGTCGCATAAGCCCCGCCACATTTAACAATTACAAAAATACATTTAATCGTCTCGAGTCACTCGATTCATATTCTCGAATTTTTTGCTCTTTGCTGCCAGAGGAAATTAAATCATCAGAGCATTTTTGACTGACAGGAATTTGCATGTACAATATTTCGGGTACGGTACGGTCGTTCAGGTCCGGTCTACGGACTTTTAAATGCTCTCTAATTTGAATTCCATTTCATTTGGTAAAAGACAAGTCCTCGAGAGTAAGAAAACGAGGCTGCACTTCTGTGTTCCTCGACTCAAAGGTCCTGCAATGACTGCACCAGCAAATGGAACAAAACACAGCAAGCCGAAGCTTGTCCGCACACCAACCGAGGGGCTCTGCCGCATGACACATATATGGATGTACGTACTATTGGCAGATACTTTTTTCATTAGTATCTTTATCTCTAAAAAATATTAATAATAATATTAAAATGAGTAACGAGGAAGACAAAAATGGGACGTATCATATTTTATTTTGTATTTTTTAGTTTATTATTTTTTTACGCTCTAATGCCATGATTTTGGCCTGTACTCGTGTACAGGCTTTCGTGGAATTTTGCACTTTTTCGGCAGTCAGCTAGGGAACTTTCTTCGTGTGCTGAAATGTATGAGCATTCGGCACCTTAATCTAGATCTAGATATTTCTACAGACAGACAGATCTTCGAAGTATGTAAATATGTAGAAACATATATAAGTAGATAGATAAACCCGCAATACATACAGATGGAGAGGGGGAATTAATGTTTTGGTCTGCCTTTCATTGTGTACAATTCGCATTTGGCACGGAAGCCGACTGTCAACAGAAATGTAATACCCGCGTAGTTTATTCGCCAGAGATATTTACGATGATTAAAATTGAGATCCCACACATCCCCGCCCTTGGGAAGATCTCCAACATTTTGTGGCACTCACCTTCTTCTTGTCGCGCATGGAGCCCTTGCCGCGGACCATGATCTTGCAGCCGGTCTCCTGCTCCAATTGTTTGGCTGTCATGCCGCGTGGTCCCAGAATGCGACCGACAAAGTTGAACTGAAATAAAGAGGGAAATGGAAACAGAAATGTTGGAGAATTAATATGAGAGGAAATCATTAGCGGAAACTAATTAAAGTTTGTTTTTTTTTTGTTTTTTTGGCAAATTTAAAACGCATTAGAAGACCAGATCAGAGATCATGACTCACTGGCAGACAGAGGGAGAGAGACCTCTTTCGAGTGCATAAAATACAAATCAAGTCCATTCAAAGTCAAAATCAAAATTGGTCAGATTCGGATTCTGTCCGCGGTTGAAGGCTGAAGGCTGATCGGAGTCGTCGTCACCCGCAACAACAATGGGTCGCATACAAGTATTACGATATAATCGCACTGTAAATGGTAAATGGCAAATGGCTAATGTAATATGACCTGAGGCGACACGCCTGAATTTGGCACGATAAACAAATCAGCCAGAATAGATGCGATGTGTACACTGAGAGAAAACTCTGCTGATGGCAGAGCGGAAGGAAAGAAACACCCATATTTCAATAATATTTAGACAAATTTGTAGAAAATACATATATTTATCTTAAATATGATATATATAATTTCAGAACTTGTTTGAAATATGAAATATATATATCTGCACTTATTTTAAATATGAAAAAGAATTCATTTAAATATGGTTTATATTTAAGTAAAATATTTTCATATTTAAAATACACGAATTTCGACAAATTCAATATATGATTTTATATGTGCTTAAAAGTTTTATATGTGCGTAAATTTATGTCGATACAAATTTTGCCACTTAAAAGAATATGTATATTTAATTTAAGTATGGATTAAATATTTAAATAAAATATTTTCATATTAAAGTACAAATTTAATTAAAAATATATTTATCTGTTTTTTATTTAATCTATCAAAATTTATTTTTTAATTTTAATTAAATTTTAATTCAAATTTTTAACTCCAGGTGAGAGTGTCTTTGCTTTTTTCTTCGAGTGTACATACTCTTTATGCATATAACAAAATGCAGTCATTCAGTCCGTCACACCGTCAGTCCTTCAATCGACAGGCGGCGACATTCAAAAGAAGTGACGCGCCTGTCCGATGCCCAGATCCGTGAAATGATGGACATGGCTATCAGCCGATTGTAAGCCGGGCCAACAAGGGGGTCGCTGCTTGGCGCCCAATTATCATGCACCCATACTCGTGCATACACACATATACACGTGCATCCGATTTGCGAAAAGTGCCTCTTGGCCGGGGGGCCAGGGGTGATGTGATGATAAATTCGATTTATTAGCCAGATCGAAAGCGATTTTCATGTGAGTTATTGTAAATTGACGGATAAACTAGTTCTGGTCGAAGCCCCGAAGGCAGTAGCCACCCACACCCACACCCACACCCACTCTCTCTCTCTCTCTCGCACACACACAGACACAATGAAAATCTATTCCGAATGCGGTGATGTGATGGGGATGTGATATATTGTTCGTTCCCCTCCCTCTCCCTCTCCGCCTCCCCCTCCCACTCCCCCTTCCACCGTGTGATGCGATCATCGACAGGCAGCCGCCCCAGGCCTCAGGCAACAGTCATCGGCAGCAGCAACTGTTGTCAGTCCGAATGTATCTGTATCTTATAGCCTGCATCTGCAACTGCAACTGCCACTGCCACTGCAGCAGCGGCACCGAGAGATCAAATCAATTGAAAATTGCCGCCATGATCCGAAGAATGCAGTTAATGCCTAATGGCTTTGGCAATTTTAATTAAATTTTTGCACAAAACCTCATCCAAAGTGCCTCCCAGCTGCCGCTGCAGCAGCAACAATCCATCCTCCTTGAATGGGGCACAAAATGGTGCACAAATATGGCGAGAAAGTTTGTATCTACGCACTCCGCCCGAGAGAGCATTGGGGGGGCTGCTGAAGAGGGCTGGAAAGCCCCTCCCCACGTTTGCATTGGCTTAATTAAAAACCCAAAAGTTTACACAAACGATCTCCACCGTTTATCCCATAAACGGAAATTAAAATGTACCCCCCCCCCCCCCCCCCCTGGCAGCACTTGCCCCCTTTCGGAGATACCACAAACATTGAACCAGGCCAAGCAAACAAACAAATCTCCGAGTGGGCCAAATAAATGATAAATGGGCTTCCATTCTGTAATCTGCGCCGCGGAAATCAATAAAGAGTGAATAGTAAACCATAAATGAACCGCAGCAAAAGATCCTAGAGTTCTATAGGGCCTCCCAACAGATTCGCAATCGAGGCTCTCAAGAGCCACAAAAGTTATCTAAAAAATCTTCAAAAAAAACACTCCAAAGATTGTCGAGAGATCCTTAAAATAAAGTCTAAACATCAACAAAATATTATATAGTGATCCCTAAATTTATAGTCATAATAAAATCAAAAAATATCCTCAAACCATCCTCCAAGTATCATCAAAATATTCTCAAAATATCCTCAAAATATGCACAAAAAATATAATCTAAAGATATTTCAACAAAAATTAAATATCGCCACAAGATTTGGCTATTAGCTACAGTACAAAACATGCTCATAATATAATTAAAAAATCATCAAAAGATAGTCAACTGATCCTCATTCAAAAGGCCTTCAAATGAAAAATATCATCAAAATTTTGTCAATAAATTATCCAAATACAATCAACAGATCCTCGAAATACATATATGTATATATATATATAAATAAAAACTTCCACCAAATTTACATAGCTATTCGCAAATTATTGACAAATAATCATCAAAGTATCGTCCAAAGATCCTGGAAATATAGTCGATCTGCCACTCTTTTTATCAGTAGAATATCGTTTATTGAGGGAACAGTTGTGGGAAATTTAGATAAGATGCTGTCTAGATGATCTCAAAGATCTTCGGGCAGAATGGCATCCTACGCCTACCTCCACATCGACGGAAAATTCTAAGATTGTTAGGAATACGCGTGCATCTCCCTTGTGAAACTTGGAAACGGAATCCAAAGATGAAACTGATTTAAGAAATAATTATTTACATTGAATGTATTCTAATATAAGCACATATGTATGTGTGTGTGTGAGTGTGTGTGTGTGTGTGTGTGAGTGTGTGCTAATCTATTTCTTTGCACAGTATGCATCCCCAGTCGCATCGCGCAATAAGTATACCCCTCCCCTCACTCAAAATAGCATTTACTTTGTTGTTTATTTACGAGCTATACGATAATTACGAGTACGAGACGAGTAAGTGGAGGAGGTGGAGGAGGTGGAGGAGGGGGAGGAGATGGAGCTCCCTCAAGAGTCCCACACGCGTGCCTCTGGAAATTCCGAAACCCAAAAACAGAAGCAGAAGCGGCGGCAGCAACGATAAGCAAACAGTTTTGAATGGTATATTATTTGTGTTTGTACGTTTATTGGCATTTTCCAGTCCAAGGGAATGGGTGAGGTACTTGAGGCGGACAAAAGACAGAAGCCCAAACGGGAGTCAAGTGGAGTGGAGAGGTGGAGGGGGGGGCTGGGCACAAGTCTCAGATGTGATTCAATTGAAGTGAACAAATAAATAAAACACGAGTATACCTATTATTTTACAGATTGTCAGACCAGATAAGGCGGCAATTTATGTGCTCGGAAAATATTTATATATGTATTCCCATATAGAATTTCTACAATAATTTTCAATAAAGGTACAAATAAATTGATAAGAGAACAGAGAAGAGACTCCCTCACACAGACACGCACACAAAAGGGCCCTCACACACACACACACACACACACACACACACACACAAACACACAAACACACACACACACAGAGAGAACAGAGAGACAAATTTGTTAGATAAGGAAATACGAACGTTCCAGAGGCCTACGCGACCCACAGACTTTCGTGGGCGGCCATGACAACTGTCCTCCGATTGTCCTCAGAATATCGAATGAAAGGCCATCATCAATTGTACGGCACAAAGAAAATGGCACAAGTTTTCAAGTTCCCCCTCCTCCAGCAATCATTAACAACAGAATGGTTTTTTCCCATAAAAGCTTATGGTATTTCCACCGGAAAATGCTTAGTTTTCAGAGATCCTAATCGAATTACAAAGAATTTCATGAAATATTTTCATCTTTTGATATTTAGCCGCAGGGTTCGGTGAAGTCTCGACTGTTCGAGTGCCCTGTAGTGGATCTAAGGGGTAGCAGAGCTTGGGGCGGAGCTGAAAGGCGAATAATCGATCGATTAATCGATACCCTTTTGCGAAATTATCGAAAGCGAGAGTAAAAGTAAAAGTTCTATAGTATTTTAGTATTATTTCGATCGGATATATCTCTGTATTTGTCTACCATGACCAAGGGTTCTTCGTAAGTGCTTACAAGAAATTGGGGTTCCTCCGTGCAAGGATATATGTATGTAGATGCTCCCCAAAGAATCTCTCCATCTTTCAGCCAGATGGTCACCAAAAAGATCTGTAAGAAATCACCTCTCCAGCGGACGGGGTATTCGTATAAAAATGCATATTCAACGCCAAGGCAGAGGTCGGCATAGATCAAATAGATTATACCCGTACTCGCAGGTTATATGCCTCTAATACATGCATGAATATATATATATATATATATATATAGCTAACAACAGCAAAAAAGCTCGTCTATTACACGGAAAAATAAATCAAAAATTGACGTGACAGCAACAGAAACAGAAACAGAAACGGCATCAAAAGTTGGGAGCTACCGCCGAGGGGGAGGGAGCGATTTGAATGACTGAAAATTAAACTTTGAGAATAATGTTTGCCACAGTTTTTTGTCGTTGTTGTTGTTGTTGTTGCAGGGTGTTTGGGGTTCGGGGTTCGGGGGCTAATGCTCGTTTGTACCCTTCGAAAGCCCCATTCCATTAAATTACCAGCGAAACAACCGAAAAAATGTACATAAAAACTGCACGTAATTAGCATTTGAATGTTTATGACTACTTTGCTGCAGTTTGTAGATTAATTGGCCTTTGTGTTAACGGGCCTAGACAATAATGAAAAAAGGCGCAACAAAAACAAAACAAAAGTAAAGTGTTTCCTCGGGTCTACAAAGCGATGGATGAATGGGATGCCGTTCAGGGGCCAGCATTCAAGAGTTCGGCGATATATCAGTCTCTCTGTGGAACGACCTTAAAGCCAGAGCCACGCGGTTCGGATTCGGATCTGGATTCGGATCTGGAGTTGCGAGTCTTGTGGGTGTGACCAAGCAGCATTACATTTAATGAGACCAGATCATAATGGATTGGATCAACCACTTGATTGATTGATTGATTACAATGATCAACTGCACGATGGGATCTACATAAATGAGGGGAAAAGCCAATGCAGCTGATGGAAAACGTACCTCATTTTAGCAGAGAAAAAAAACATTCAACATTCAAGTGTCTAAGGAGTCAAGGATAAGGCAACAGGGAATGGAAACCAAAGGGGTAATGGGGCCAAATATCTAACTAATAACAGGGTCAAGTGGATACTTGGAGAGTGGTGTGGAGACTAGGGAACAGTTTGGGTGATCGACTAGTAGCATAAACCATAAAAAGATACAAGATCCAACCAGAGATGGTTAGAAACCTACTTTCTCTATGAAATAAGCATAGAAAACGTATCCCAAATGGGAATAAAAGACAGTAGAGGCCACACGGGCCTCAACCCCCACATATCCGGTACTCTTTCGATACTGGTGCGCTCTCTGAGGGACAGAGATATGTATGCGTTGCGCGATGTGTAAGATATGATCCTTCTTTATGTATTATTTCGGATGCCACAAGATGTCGGTGGGAGCCAACATAGCCCAAGAGTTAGAAATGTTTCCTGTCGAGGCACACGTCCCTCTACATCAAGATACCCCCTTGCCTGCTCTAGGTCTAATAGCCCCTGAAATCTTTGCCGTTCAACAAGAAGGACAGTCTGACATGGCTAAATGGAGTCGTCTGTTGCTGCTAATAGAGAATATACCTACATATATTGTATGGACACTTGAAGTCTAGTTCAATCTAATCTCCAATTTAATTTCTTTGCCATCCTCTGACCAAAATTGCATCCAATTGTGCTCCATCCATACATGAATACGCATGTGTGCGTATGAATGGCTCAGCATACAGTAAACATCAAATGATTTCATTTAACACAACAGAAAACAAAAAACGATTTGGCCATAAAGAATGTCAAGCATAATTTTCTATTCCAAGCAGCGAAAATTGCCCACAGATACAGATACTCGGGCCAGCAGTGGGTAGCTGTTGCTGCCGGTGATGCTGTTCGCTTAGTGGGTCAACTGTCGCATGTCGCCACGGGGCGTATGAGCAATGAGCGTTGACAGTCGTACAAGCAACGCACCCAAGGAAGAGAGATGGATGGAATACAATGGAAAGAGACAGCAGACAGACAGATGGACAGATGGACAGATCGAGAGAGAGAGAGAGAGAGAGAGAGAGACAGACGACTTTGGAGCGTTAATAGCTGGCTTGTAATTAATTGTAAACTGTTTTAATGCCCTGTCGCTGGCACTGGCACTGCCCGCCTGATGGCTGCTTTAATTAAGTTGCATTTATGTTTTGGTCGCAAACAACCCGCCGCTCCGTCTATGATCTCCTCGTCTGCATTTGGTTAGCCCGTTGACAAATTGTTTGTCCATTTACATGGCAGACAACGAATACGACTTGGAGCATTGTTGTCACTCTCTGACAAATCTCGATTTACATTGTCGGGGGATATAAATTATGAACTGCCATTATACGCTCTGGCCGATATTTGGCCTTGAAATTAATGTCCAGCGATGAGGCATGGCATCCGAATGCCTCGTCGGTTGCATTTTCCATGTTATTTGAAACGCAATTTATCTTGCCCAAACACATTTTCAAACACACACCCAAAGAGACGGACACGGACATGCGAAATGTGGCATATTTCAGATATTTTTCTATCGCTAATTTTGCTCGAAATGATTGCAATTAAATCAAATGATTTATGACGCAAAGAGAAATGCCCCTCTGAACGCCCACGCCCAAGGCTCTCGGGAACATCGAACACCTTTGCCTTCGGAAATTTCCCACCATTCGGCCCTAAAAATAGACCGATTCGAACACCTGAAAGGGGGGCACAGATCCGACGATCGGAGCTGTAGATCTGTGCCAGTTTTCATTTGGAAAACATCATCAAAAGTTGTCTCTGTCTCTGTCTCTGGCTCTGGCTCATGTTCTTTTCTAATTTATGACCTTAGCTCATTCATATTCATTCCATTTCATTTCATTTCAAATTGGTTTGCAGAACGTACACAAAACATAGACACATTGGACATGAGTTCGAATCACCCTAATAAAGTCCAATTTGATGCTTTTTATGTTGGTTCCGCTCCGCTCCTCTCTGATCTTTTCGATTTCCAGTTTATGCAATGCTCAGATCTCTTGCGAAATGTTTCACTATGGTTCCGGGGAGACCATTCTGGGTAGATCTTGAAACTAACAAGTTTTGTGGGTTCGTTTGACGATTCTGTCGATCATTTATATATTTTATCGAATTTTTCGGATTTTTCCTAATATAATCGATAATGTATCGATGTAGTCTATGATTTATACGTTTTTTTCCATCGTGTATCAATATAATCCACAATCTATCAAAGTTATCGATCCTCTGTCAATGTTATCGATCATCGTTCAATGTTTTATAGGTCATCCATCAATGTGATCGATCAATTTTTGATTTTTATCGAGCATCTATCAATTTTTTCTATCATTTATCAATTTTATAGATCGTTTATCTTGTGATCGATGTCAACGCCTCTTTATCGATCTGCCATCGATAGTTTATCGACCAATTCAATTTCAAATTCTTTTTTAATTAACTTTCGAATTTTGTATGGACACATATCGGAAAACATATGCCTATTCGATATTTTTAGGAGAGAGAAAGAAGGACCATTTGGTGATCATTTTTAAAGGCATCTTTATGCATGTTTTAAACCCCAATAAATACTACAATGGAATGCATGGAATCCCCCGTTCAGTCCTCACTTTAATCTGTAGAAAGAAGCAAGAGCGAGAAATATCTGACAAGTATTTCCAGAGAGTTCTCTAAGGTCTCCTCTGGGGGTTTCCCTACTTCATTTGAAACACATTCCATTCTGGCTCCAAAAACGTGTGGTGGAAAACTGTTCCTTGTTATTGAAGGAACCTCTGCACCTGCACCTCTCTTGATTTATCCCCCCCCCCCGATGTGTTGGTGGGGTCGAAGCATCACCCTGAACTATTGCTTTGGCGCCAAGTACCAGTATTTGCCCAAGAAAATTATTGGAACAGCTGTTGAACAGCAGCAGCAGCACTCGATCTGAAACGCTTTCGAGTCTGTCTAATTAATGCTGTTTAAATTTATGCATCTACTCGTACGCGTATCTGGACCGCCAGGGCAGAGGGGGGAGGGGAAAAACATCAACATAAAATACATCCAAGAGCAAAGTGTGTCATGCAATAAAATAAATTTCCTCGTCTGCTGCTGTCAGGCCATAAATAAATGGAGGGAGCAAAAAAAAAACCAAAAAAAAAAAAAGAAAAAATTTACAAAAGGAAAAACTACGCCCAAACAATTTCCAAATTAAACGAGAAACAAAAGACGGAGCGCACAACATTTTAAATTGCATAAAATTAAATCAAATTCTAATGTGGCAGGCAGGCGGGAGGGCGGGCAGGCGGGAGGCAGGGCTTGGGGGCTTGGGGCTTGGCTTTGACGTGACGCCTACAAGTAAATGAAATGAAATGAAACGATCTGAATGAACGTTGTCAAACGACTTCCTAAAACGCTTCAGTGATTCCGCATCTAACCCATGTAGTGGGCTATGAGGGGATGGGTGGCAAGGGTGGAGGGGCTTTGCATTTGGCATCTGGCATCTGGCATCTGGCTGGGGCGTGTTTGAGTTGTCTTGTCTCAAAGACACTTTAACACACGACTGACTCTATCAGAGGCGGCGGACAGAAGAAGCGCAGAGCACGGAGCACAGAGCACGGAGTACGGAGGAGATTGGCACACCTTAAAGCCATTTCCGGTGTACCAGTTGCTCAGTGAACGCCACACACACACACACACACATACCGCCGCTTCGAAGTCGCTTGTCACTTTTCTAATTAGCGGAAACCCATCCATCGAAATGGATACTTGCTCGCCCTCGCCCTCGTCGATCCATAAATTAGATCATCGTTCATCATTCATCATTCACTTACATCTGGATGTTCACGAACTGGCACGTAAACCTTCTCGTTCATCGTCACGACAGCGCCCTCGGGCTCGGGCAGTGTCAGCGGCTCCTTCTTGACCCCATTGATCTGGAAGAGCGAGGCGCGCACGCGTGCAATTTCTGAAAATAATCAAACAAAATAGAGATTACACATTAAAAGGGGAGCACAAAAAGGAAGTAAGAACTATAAGGTTTCACAGGGGAACACTTAATGAAAGACTTTGATTTGATGTACAAATGTTCCATAAGTGAATGGATACATTCGTTATGACTAAAGCATACAGTGACGATTCGACACGACAGTTTTGGGATTTCTTGCAATGGAAAAACCAAAATATATCGATTATTTATCGATGTTATCGATAATTTATAGTTTGTAATTATTCATGTATTTTATCGATAGTTTATCGCTCGTATATCATTCATGCATCGATCTCATCGATCAATCATTTTTGTTATCGATCGCGTATCGATGTTATCGATCGCGTATCGGCATTATAGATTACTCATAGGTGTTGCCGGTGTTCCAGGGCTTTGATCGCATTTAACCAGAATTAAAAGAACAAAAAGGCCTCCAAAAATACTGTTTAGTATGTGGGAAATGAAGGATAGTGCTCCAGCCTTGAGCACATATCAAAACAGATCAGGATCTCGATGACATATACAATACTTTTAATTAGGTAATAAACGCCACTCATGTGTGCCTAAGAAAATGCATTATGCAAATTGTGTGGATGAAAAGCAGGCAAACAAAGCGAACGGCGTTGATAATTTTAATTGCAAGCCTCACCAGAACCGAGTCCCATATGTCATTTGGCTAAGTGGCTGTATTAAATTACGTTTAATTCATGTACTAAACGGACATCAATAGTCGTAAAATGGCGTGTGAATATGTGGCCATTGAGCGAATGAGTGAGTGAGTGCCACTTTTGTTATTTATTGGGTCGGGTGGCCACAATGAAATCACTTGGTTTATATTTAAACAAATTATGCCATGCATTTCCCTATTCCATTAGCTTTTCCCCCCTCCCCCATGGAGGAGGTCTGAGGTCAGCCGTAGTCTCTCCCCTACATTTCACACTTCTGGGGGGGGGCCCTACCCCTGCTCTGCGCCTACCCCCAACTGTGCCAAATGACAGCCCCTCTCGAATTGATATGATCAACATATTGTGCTGCTGCTGTTATTCTGGTTTTTTGCATAATCCCAGCCCCAATCCCAATTGCATTGCCATTGTTTGTCTTTGGCATGTGCTGTGACAATTTGTCACTAAATACTCGACAATCGCTGGTGTGTGCTACATGGGGGGGCAGTCATAGAAGTGACTCAAGATTTGTGCCCACTTGTGACATCAATTAAACGCCCCACTGACTTGTCCAACTAAATATAAACCGAGTGGCTAAGCTTTGACAAGATTGGCACCTAATCCTGTGGGGATCTTGGGTTAAAAGAACGATTTTTTTGGCGGCTTTAGGCCTGTCCAAAATTAGCACTCTTGGCCTTCCTTGAACTGTCTTTGCCGCGGGAATTAATTTACTTTTTGCACATATATTTATCTATCTTTCGGCATCTTTTTCACTTATGCTTTTTTTTTTTGTTTTTTTTTTTGGTGTCACATAAATAAAATTAAGAGGAACAAAAATCTGTGCAGACACAAAACAAAGAAAGCAGGCGCCCGAAACGACGCAGAAAAGAAATTGCACGGCAGGAAAGGAAAAGCAAAATAAAAGATATTTTCCATACCAGAGTTCATCGCGGGAGGTCAAAGAACCCATCAAGAAATTAAGAATAATCGAGGGAACCGCCACAAATACCGCAAAAATATACATTTCGATGGAAGATGGAAGATGGCTGAGAGCAGAGAGCATCTGGCGAATGGGAGGGGGGGGGGGCTTTTCATTTGTGTTTCCAGTTTTTCCACTGGCGACACGCAACATAGAAGAGCACATTCCATCAGTGCAGATCAGATCAGAGCTTTAGGATCATTCAATCATGACAGCTGTCAGTTTTAATCGACCAAATGTCAATCTGCAACGTGACCGTAGCGATGTGTGGCAGCATCAACAGATTGTGCAGCCCGATTAGATGAATAAGACTCTCGAGAGTCGCCTCGTACTGGAGGCTAAATTGTAAGTGTAAAATCGCATTTGCATAGCCGAGCAGAGCCGAGTCGATGACGAAGTCGCGTATCATTCGAATCGAATTAGTCACTTCGGGCAATCGGGCAATCGGGCGGCATTTAGATAAATTACTATGATCGGCTCCTAGCCATATGGTGTGCAGGCGGCTTAATTAATAGCTTGGGGTCTCTGCTGGGAGGACGGGGAGGGGGCTTAGTCTCCGATCTATAATTAAATCCCTTACTCAGAGAACAACCTGTTGCCCCCACAGGCAGGCCATTTTAGGGCATACAGAACTGGAGAACTGGAGAACTGGAGAACTCGAGAGGAGCCAAGTGGGCGACCCGAACGAGAGCAGCAACAATTATCAATGAATGATCATTTTATTCATTAACAAGTCGAGTCGTTTGTGCTTTTAAGGCAGCTCTCCGGGTATCTCAGATCTCCTTCATCTTTCGCTTCCATTCATTTCCATTCCGCGCCTAATGCAAGCCACACTTTGACTCATAATTTACATAGATATAACTTTTACGACTCTATCTATCCATCCATCTATAGAGTGTGTCTCTTGGCCAACGCTCAAGCTCTGTATATGGCCAGAGAGCCGCCAAATTTGGCGCACAACTTTGCGTGTGTTCAAGTATTATTATTATTATTATTATTATTATTATTATTATTATTATCATCGTTTTGTATAAATTCAGCAGCCCCCACAAAATGTGGCTCCAACAAAGTGGTTACCTTTCCGACGGAGTGTTATTAACGTGGCTCCAACTCAAGGCTAAAGGATGAATGGAATTTGTTTAATTTGTAAATGACATCATTCTGATGTTTCTTCCCAGAATGAAATCTCTTCTGCCTCTGCCTCTGCCTCTGCCGCTTGGCTGCCACATTTTGCAACATTTAAATTTTAAATTTAGCTTCTGCACTTTTTCTTGATTTTCTGCCTCGCTTTTTTTTGCCCCTGCTTTTTCCTGCACCTGAGAGATGGTACGGAATCGAAACGAAGAACCACTCGAGCGTCCATAAAGTTGTCAAATTTTATGCACCACGACTTTTATTTTTTGGCAAGGGTTCTGGGTCTTGCTGCCCCGAAGGCAAGTAGGGCATCAACTATATACAAGGTGGGGGTGTGGGGGGTGTGGGGGGTGCCAGAAATGATTACATATGTACATATGCGTGGGCTGAACATTTTTCAAGTGCCTTTTTGCTTTGATTTTGGGTTGGAATTTAACATTCATTGAAAAATGAATCTTTATCAAAACGGTTAAGAAACAAAACCAATATATTTTATACAATAAAATTTCAGCTACTATTTTTGCTAGTTCAGATGTTATTTAATTGGTAACTCTCTGGATTATTTCCGGTATTTATTTCCTGTACTACTTTTTGTCTCATTTCATACTACATTTCTTTTTCCTCCTTAAGTATTTGAGAAATTATTCTCAGTGTACACTCGTTTCATCTGGGCTTTGGTCTCCGTTACTTTGCTGCTATTCTGATCATTTGCCGCTTCGTTTTTGTAGGAGAGAGAGAGAGAGAGAGAGAGAGAGACTCGCTCAGAGAGGATTGAACGAGCGAGGAGATAACAAAAAAGCTGTCGTCTAGCTTGGTCCTTGGTGTTGCTGAGTGCGAGTGGGAGAGTGAGAGTGAGAGAGAGATGTGTAACTTGACAGTTCTTCGGCACTCGTATGTTGCTGAGAGAGCACCTACGCACTGAGAGAGCGATGCGATAACAGCGGTTGAGGGCTGAGTGCAAGTGAGAGGGAACATCTCTGCCGATTTTGGGCAGAGAGCAAAGAAAAAGAGCAGAAAAGCAGAAAAGAGTGAATGCAAGTTTTAATCAGGAATCTTTCCCCCCCCCCCATTCAGACAGCCTCGCACTCACACCAAATACCCCGTACGTATCCCGCACCAAATCGAATGTCACACAAGACCGAAAATCTCATAAGATATGCGCCAGACAGCGCAGAGCGACACCTTAAACCAAATTAAAACTGAGCTTAGCTCAACAGCTTAACACGAGAGATCGCATCGCATCGCATGGGGGGCTCTGATTGATTGTTTTTTTGTTTTGCTGGGACAACAATTTGCATTGGCTCACGATTTCATGGCTAGCGGCGGGGGCAAGTGCGGGGGGAGGCGGGCCCAAAGGCGTGGTGTGGCTGTGGCTAAATGCGACACATATCTAAGTATCTGCCAGCTAATTTATGAATGCAAAACCATTCATACGAGTACTCGTACCACACGATACTCGAGCGACTCGAGCGTGGGTGTCTGTCAGCCCGGGCAAGCAAAGTCAAATGAGATCTCGGTCTGGTCTGTGTGCCCGTGTGTGCCCGTGAGTGCCCGTGTGTGCCCGTGTGTGCCCGTGTGTGCCCGTGTGTGCCCGTGTGTGCCCGTGTGTGCCCGTGTGTGCCCGTGTGTGTGAGTGTGTGTGGGTTTCGACCTGGCTGTGACTCTGCCTTAACCAATTGTCAACCGAAAATGGCAAAGAAACGTTTAAGGTTCAGGTTGATTGCTGCACCAAAGCAACCATCCCCCCTCCCCCCCCCCCCCCCCCACAGGTCCCCTGGTTTTGAACTCCATTGGCCTTGGAAATATTTGCAATTCGGCAGTGTATTTGTTTGTACAGCCAAAAATCAAAACCAAAACCGAAACGCCACAACAACAACAAAAACAGAAGGTTTATTGTGCGTTCAAGTAATTTCATTATTCGGTTGTATTTCTCTTCTTTTTTTTTTGTGAAGCTTTTTAGCATATTTTGTGCACATCTCCTTTGCGGTAGACAGTGCGTTTCGAAGCTATAAGGCAATCAGAACCGAACACAAATCAGTGCTTTCTGCTCTCGCTCTCTGTCTCTCTCACACAAATTTTGAGAACCATCGTCTGCCGAAGTGAGTAGAATTCGATTCGACGGCCCTCTCTCGGCATGGAATTCGGAGAGCATTCAGCATTATAATTCCCCCTATTTCGGGTCTTATTACTCAGTAAAAGAGTCC